GTCTTGATTTCGTTTAACTGCTTCTGTAGATGTTCTTAAAATTTCCTCAGTTCATGTCACTCCTTTACTTAAAAAAATCTTAATGACTATCTCTTACTTCTATGTGCTAGCTAGATTATCTTGGTTACATGGGTAATTTTCAAGTCCCAATGATAAAACTGGGGTAGTTCTACCTCATGGGAATTACATGAGAATTAAATGAGGCAACTCATGCAAAAAGCCCATCAAAAAATACAATAATACATTAATAAAAGTCAACTAGTGTTGTTGTTATCTGTTAGATCTCATATTAGCCATGATGGCATCTTTCACACGGCATCATCAACACGTCCTATCACTTTCATGCCTGTATGTGTGCACCTGTCTTCAGGTGTCTTGCTGCTACTGCTGCAGGCCTCATCTCCTCCTCTCACAGCCCGCCCAGCCTTTTTGATGAACTTGACTTTCTGTATTTCTTATCCTAATATCCACTAGCCTAGAACGTTTCACATATCCTCCTGATTGTAATGTTCTTGAGTATGACTTTATGCTGTGCTCCTGGCATATTGCAAGAGCTCCTTCGTGGAGACACCTTTCCTGTCTTTCACTCTGCTATTTATCCCACAAATCTTCACATTAGAGAAGTAATAGATGTTAACTGAACCAAAACAACAAAGCAAAACAAAACACTGGTGGACATATATCCTATCTCTTAATACAAAAGGGTTGCAAATTACCACTTGACGTGGAGTGTTTCAGCATGCTATCAGTACATGTGACAAAGGTCTCCTGTAGCTCACACTAACCTGGAACTCACTAGATAGCCAATGATGACCTTGAACATGTGTTCCTCTTATCTTCATTTGTAATCAAAGTATAATCTGCTCTTAACTATGAGTGAATACTGGATTTTCCAAATTTTCTCCCATAAAAGTCAGACAGGATAGATACATCTTAATTGAAGAAGCTACACTGTTATTTGTGCTAATTCACCAAACCCCATCCTTCTCAAGGCTGCTTTACCTTTGTATTTTTTATTAGCAAAGCATGAGTATTACAATCTGGGAGAGTAAACTTTGGTCCAAATTGCAATCTCCAGGAGTATGCCAGGGCTGGTGGCATTCTTCAGGAGGACATCACAGAAGCTTGTCTAATTTTGGGAGTGAAAAGACCTCCAGAGGAAAAACTGATGTCCAAGAAGACTTACGCCTTCTTTTCCCACACAATAAAGGCCCAAGAAGCCAATATGAGCTTGCTGGATGAGGTCCTGAAACAGGTAATTGTGATCAGTATTCATGAGCAGTAATGCAGCATTGGACAGTAGATCTGTCACTCATGTTAGTAGGAGATGTGATCCATGGCAGGGTGCCCAATGAAGAGCTATCCTCGGCTACACAGGTTTGGAATATGCATCACGTTATTTTATGTATTCTGAAATAAGAGGATAAAGGTTTGTTTTCTCCCTCAAGCAGTTACTAATTTATCAAGTTAAGTGGGTATATCCCACCATGTAGAATTCAAAAGCTAAAAAGAATCTCAAAGATCATGTAATCTACTGACTTGTTTTTCACAGGAGACTCAGAGGGGTACAGTAACCTAACTGAGGTTACACAGCTCTATGGCACAGTAACAGAACTAGAAATGCTTTTATATTCATTACTATTCATAAGATATGAAGTCTATTTTGAAGTTTTAAATACTGTGAAAATATTAATAGCTACTTAAAATGGGAATGACCACCGAATGAAATCAGTATTGAGTGCCTACAATGTGTCGTACACAATTCACCTCAGTGAAAATGCAAAATAGCTGCTATCCTTGTGGTTTTGATGCCACATTCAGTGGGAGGAGACAGAGATAAGCAAAGAAGGCAGCCTATGTCACCAGAAAATAATCAGTAAAAGAGATACAGTACTGAAGGAGAAAGGAACATGAACACCAAGAGGGGACAATGCAACTGTCAATAGGGCCTCATCGCAAAGGTGGCATTTGAGTAGATATTTGAAGGAGACAAAGAACCAAGTCTTGTCTGACGATGTTGAGTCTTCTAAGCAGGTAGGCATGTAAAGATCCAAAATGTTTCTGTGACTGGGTGGGTAGAATGGGCCGTGTACTAATGTGCTTAATCTTCCTGTTATATGGTAGTGGTTGGAGGTGTAAGGAAGAAAGCAGCACTAATCAGACGACGTAGTCTATGGCCAGTCTAGACTACAGGCAACTGATGAATGTGGCTAGGTCCTGGGTGGTAGAGTAGATACTGTGATATTTGTGGAACCTTAATTGCATTTTAGAGGTGAATTCTACAAAATTCCTTGATGACAGGAAGGTAGAATTTGAGGATGGCCAATGTTGTCTATGAGGAGAGTAAGCTAGGGTGGCCATGTTGTGTATGTGCAGAGTTAGCCCTATTAGGAACAGAGGAGTTTAGCTTGTCAGATATCGACATTTTGACAGTAGTCAAAAAAGCTGATAGTGTGTTGGATATGAGTTTGTAGCCTAGGAGAGCAGCTTCGCCTGTCCAGCACTGTGAGAGACCAGGTGGTGTGTATACTTGGGGGGCTAGATGAGTGTGGGTTGTGAGTGGAGATACAGACCAGAGCCTTGGCCCATGGCCTACAGTAAGGATGATAGAGCACTTGATATGGAATCTGAGAATAGAACAGAGGGTTACGTTTACCAACAATACAAGCAGTGGAAAAAATGGATTTTATTTAGGGCAATAGGATATGTTCCTTTTAATTTCAAAACCACTTTGAAGCAAATAAACTCTTTTATGAAGAACTTCAGAGATATTTTGTTATATGAACTTTTGGTCCTCATCAGAAAAATTAATAAAAACAGACCTAGCAGGATGGCTCTTGGGCAGTCCTCTAACAAGTCCACATTCAGAGTTGGTTATACATTAAAGATAATTAAATTTGTAAACTTAATTTTAAATTGTACAGTCCCCCCCCCAGTACTGGGTTTGCAACCCATGACCTTGCACATGCAAAGAAAGTACTATATTATACTTAGTAATGTACTCAAGACCTTTAACTTTTACATTCTTTGAAGAGATAAAAGTATTGTGTAATTTTAATATAGCTTTTAAGAACCCAATTGTTGATAGAGGTTGCTGTCCCACCCAGTCCCATAGTCATTCAGTCCCAAAGAAACACATAGAGGTCTACATTAATTATCAACTGGTTGGCTTATTATCTCAGGCTTCTTATTAACTAACCTTTACATCTTAAATTAACCCATAATTTTTGTCTGCCATTACCATATGGCTTGGTACCTTATATCAGTGAGACATTCTCAGTTTGTGTCCTCTGTGTCTGGATAACAACTGCAGACTGAGCCTTTCCTCTTCCCAGAATTCTCCTTCTCTGGTTGCCCCACCTATATTTCCTGCCTGGCTACTGGCCAATCAGTGTTTTTATTAAACCAATACAAGTGACAAATCTTTACAGGGTAGTACAAGACCATTGTCCCACAGTGCGTCTCCCCCTTTATTTTCAAAGCAAAAACTCTAAATCTAATCTCCTTTGTTTAGCTTTCTTCCTGACCATTATTCATAACAACTTGTAACCAATACTCTAAACAAAGCCCAACATACATAATCCAGTTTTGGGGGGCACTGATAATCTTATGGGGACCTAAAGAAAATTTAGGATTATGGTCAAGTCCTGACTGGAGTATTCTGTGAGGCTTGATCATCTCTGCCAGCAGTTCTGAGACTGTTCTGGATGTAGAACTCAGAGGAAACTCCAAGAGAGGTTCTCTGAAATGTTGGATCATCTGGGCCATTCATCCTGTCAGAGATTTTTCAGAGAGTCTTCCTTGACCAAAACTTATTTTCTTAGCTAAGAATGAATCTACAGCCTCTCATTTCCTGTGGAAACAAAACCAAAGTCTCCAAAGTAACGTATCTTTTGATTTAAATTTTAAAGTCAAGGCATTTTCAAAATATTTATGTTGGGTTAATCTAGCAGCATTTATAATCAAATGTCTTTTAGCAGCTGTTGCTCCTTCCTCAGCCACCAAACAATTCAAATACAACACAACAACATACAGTATCCAGATTCTCTGTGTATTTCCATCTATATGTGCCTTTATTTTAAACTCTAGTTTTTCTTTTTCTTTTTAATTTTTGGTTTTTTTGAGACAGGGTTTCTCTGTTTATCTTTGGCTGTCCTTGAATTCACTCTGTAGACCAGGCTGTCCTTGAACTCATAGAGATCCACCTGCCTCTGCCTTCCAAGTGCTGGGATTAAAGGTACATGCCACGACACCCAACTCCTCTCTTTTTTTTAATGACTTTATCCTTTTTCTTTTTCCTCCCAAGCCTGCATATATTTTTTAAACACACTGTAAACCATTTAGAGAGGGTTTTTTTTGGTTTGAATCTATCTTTACTGTATATCTCTTTTTCTGACCTCATGAATCTTTAAGTTGCTAAGTGATGTGGCTGGGATTAAAGCTGTGGCTTTGATGACTGAATGCACCCCATCCTTTAGCTTTCTGAGATCCAACTTCATGGCAGAGGTATTGGTGGGAGCCATGCTTATTGCTACAACTCTATGGAGTTTCAAGGTCCCTGCCACCAACAAGAAGCATGCTGTTGGTGATTCATAAACACCATTTAAGTGTTTGGTGGAGGAACATGTTCAAAGATCTGAAAGGTTTTGTAGCTAACTGAGTCAGGAAGCCTCTCTTAAATGAAATGTGTTTGCCCTTAGTAAACAGAGCCCACTTGGGAAACTGTGCTTAACATTTTTTTGTGTGTTCTTTTGTGTCTTGAATTACTTCCCAAGATTTTTTTTTTTTGGCTTGAACGTATTGATTTTAATTACTTTCACAACAAAATTTAGTAACAAACATTTAACACGCTGCTATTATAACTGCTAGTGAAATCAGCTATCTAAATCCATTCAGTCTTCTCTTGACAACAGGTTGTAGCTCCCAGACGACAGGTGAGCGATCACTAATAAAAATTGTGTTTGCTAACCTAGCACCATGTTCCAGTCTTAGGACTCAGAGGCAGCTGGATGGAAACTAAGCTGAAGGGAAGCTGCTGGTAACCTTGACTTCTGGCCCCAAGTTGGTTCTAAGGCAACAGGCAAGGTCTGAGGCTGAGGAGGAACACAGCTTTGGGGTGCGGCTATGAAGGAGTCAGGCCCCTCGGGAGGGAACTTGGGTTCAGAGCACAGTGCTGGGCAGGCATCAGGAACTAGGGGGTTTCTTCTTGGCTTCCAGGTCCTTTTTAATCTCTTCAAGTTTTTTGGCCAGGTTTGGCATATCATAATTGTGAGCCAGATACATTCCAACCACATTGCTCAAAGCAAATCCAAGCAGGAACTGGAGCATGATGTCGGTAGGGAGGGAGACGAGGAGGGTTTTATGTGGATGTGATTGTCCCACATTGGGCACCAATGTGTAAGCGGAGGCTGCTCTTTCATTTCCTGGCCACACAGACCTGAATAATTACACAGAAACTATATTAATTACAACAATACTTGACCTATTAATTAGCTCAGGCTTCTTATTAATTAACTCTTACATCTTAAATTAACCCTTTTCTATTAATCTGTCAATCAACATGAGTCTGTGGCTTACTGGTAAGGATCCAGCATCTGTGTCCTTCAGCAGCTATGTGGTGTCTCCTTCACTGTGCCTACTCTCTCTCTATATTCCTTCCAGCCTGGTTATTTTTTGCCCTGACATAGGCCAAATAAATTTTATTCATTAACCAATAAAAGCAATGCATATTCAGAAGGACATCCCACATCCTACATTAAAGGGGCTTTCTTGAGAGAGGGAAGGTCTTTGAAGAAAAAGAAATAATTTATATTTGTCAAAGATAAAGAAAAGAGGAAGAGAAAGGGAAGGAAGAGGGAGAGAGAGGGAAAGAGAGAATGTTGGGATATATTGTTAGGTAAAAAAAGGTGTTTTAAATGACTGAGGAACAGGAAGAATATGCCAAAAAAGAGGTATTAGTTCAGGAACTGACCAGAAAGGATTTGGAATGAAGCAGGATTTGCTTGCACACAGGGATTCATCTTAGGAAGGATATGTTTTCTTTGGTACCAGATGATTGATGATAAGTAGGGACATAGGCATATTTCAAATAATTTTGGGCAGGTTGGGGGACCTTTGCCTCAGTTATTTCCTTGGCTCACTTTAAAGGATGTGTTTAACACCAAGTTCATTCTTTTTAATTCTAATGACAGCTGATCTGAGATCAAGCACTTTCAAAACATTTAATGGTGCACCTCCTGGTAATGGGCTAGTCAACATGCATTTCCTAAGAGGGAAAATATAAAATTTTTATTTCTTTATATGTGGCTTACTAATATATTGAATTTGAGCTGAATTTATCTGCTTACAACAGTTTCTTTTTTTCTTTTCTTCAGGAAATTCGACTAATTGATTATGAGAAAATGGTGGATCACAGAGGGTCGCGGATAGTTGCATTTGGACAGTGGGCAGGTGTGGCAGGTAGGTATGTCAGGGCTCATGTAACCTCCTAAGTGTGTCTTAGCAGTACAAGTGTGTTTTCTCTTTTCTATGTTTACTGCTAAAACAAAAACACAAAGAAAAAAAAAAGGAAGCAGGCAAATGGTTAATACCCAAGAATAGGTTTCAGTTTTCTAGATGATCCTGTGAAGAAACAAAGTTATGTTTGATAATGGGACACCATAAGTAGAAAATCTGGGGGAATGATCTTCTTTACCAAGTGAGGGGTGAGCCATGGAAGTACTCTTCCAGGTTATTTTGGACTCACCCAGGTGACTGTTCTTTTCCTCTAGAGAAAATGAACACACCAGAAATATGCTAATTGATTCAGGAGTAACACCATGTCTGTGAATAGGGTGTGACTTGGTTAAGAGCATTGACTGTTCTTCCAAAGGTCCTGAGTTCAATTCCCAGCAACCACATGATGGCTCACAACCATCTGTAATGAGATCTGGTGCCTTCTGGCCTGCAGGCATACATGCAAGTAGAAAACTCTGTGTGTATGTGTGTGTGTGTGTGTGTGTGTGTGTGTGTGTGTGTGTGTATAAAAGTCTTTTTAAAAAAGTAGACTTAAAAAATCATGAAGGCAAGGTAATACACAAGTATAGTGTCAGTACTGCTTGTTAGAGGAAGAATACTGAGCTGGAAATAGCTGTTGGGAGGGTTGGCCTTGAGACAGTGCATCTGAAGCTGGGACTTGATGGCCAAATAAAACCTATTTTAATGTTTTAGAGTAAGTAAGGAGGAAGGAATGTTAGGCACATATAAAGACCTGCTATACAATAAAGTTAAAAAAAATCTAGGTAGACAAAGTAGAAAAAGGAGATGGCACAACGCAGAGGGAAGAAACATAAGAGAGAACACAGCAATCTCCTCTGCAAGCATTGAAAGAACAGCAAAAGCTGTACTAAGGCTAGTGAGCTTGACAAACTTATGAATTAGACAAACCTGTAGAAGACACAAATGGCTGAAACCACTGCAAGAAAAGATTGGCTTTACAGTATTAAGTAAATTCAACTCATAAGAAAAGTAAAACATTTTATAAAAGGAATTTTATTTTTACTGCAATAGTTCTTGTGACAGACTGGCATTTAGAAGCTTGAGGTAGGAGGATTGTCATGAATATGAGGCCAATGTGGACTACATAGCAAAAGTAAAAAAAAAAATTACTTTTTAATTTTTTTTGTGAATTTCATTCATGAGTGCTATATTTACATAATTTCTACCTCTCCCTCTTTCACCTACCCCTTTTATTTTCCCCACCCTCCCTCTCAATTTCATGACCTCTTCTTAAATTATTATTATTACTACACATGTACACACACCTTGCTGAGTCAATTTAGCATGGCGTGTATGTACATGCATTTAGGGCTGACCTTACCCTCCCCCCCACACACACTGGAATTGGGTAACCATCTGGGAGCTTATTCCTGGAGAAAACTCATTCTACTTCTCTCAGAATTCATTGGTTCCCTGAACTTCTTCATCTAGGAGCGGGGCCTTATGAAACTTTTCTCATACGTACTGGCATGTCACCTGGTGCATGTCACTGTACAGGCTGTGTCTCAGCAACTATATGATTGATACTTCATGAGTACAGCTTTCCTGTCACGGGTCTAGAAGACAACTATTTAGCAGCAGACAATCTGTCCTTACTGTCTGTACTTAGAAGTTTTCTGTCATTCTTCCACAGTTTTCCTTGAACCTTAGGTGTAGGGTTTACACTACAGATGTATCATTCAAAGCTGGCTCACTTATTTTCTGAAGTTTGACCAACTGTGAATCTCCATAGTAATCTCTATCTGCTAAAAAAAAAAAAAAAAAAAAAAAAGGAGCTTCTTTGATGAGGGGTGAGAGTTACTATTCGTGAAGATAAGTAAGACTATTATTCAACTCCACTCAATTAATGGTCCTTTTGTTGGTCTGGTTCTGTGACAGGAATGATCAATATTTTACATGGAATGGGTTTAAGGCTACTTGCGTTGGGACATCATACACCTTTTATGGTGAGAGATTTTATTTTTTTATTGGAAATGTGTCACATTTTCAGCATAGAAACGCCTTTGAGATAGTGCACTGACGTGGATTGTGTGTGTGCTTGCTTCCAGCACCTTGGCATGGCTCACAACTACAGGAACAGCAGCCAGGCTGTGCAAGCTGTCCGCGATGCAGGTTATGAAATATCTCTGGGTTTAATGCCAAGGTCAATAGGACCCTTAACCTTTGTGTTCACGGGGACTGGCAACGTATCAAAGGTAGCCTCACCCCTCCTCTCTGTCAAGTCAAGCAATCTGAAATGCTCAATATTTTGTGGGCGTTTCAAACCAAATGACTGGCCATTCAACTTGGAATATTTCTTATGTTTTTACTATAACAAAGAACAGTAGTAGCCCAAGCACTTTCTTTGCTTTTAGCTGATATCATCTACTAGAGCAGTGGTTCTCAGCCTGTGGGTTTTGATTCCTTTGGGAGTTAAACAACCTTTTCACAGAGTTCATATATCAGGCATCCTGCATTTCAGATATTTACATTGCAATTTATAATAGTACCAAAAAATATAGTTTTGAAGTAGCAACAAAAATAATTTGAAGATTGGGGGCCACCACATGATGAAGAACTATAGTAAATGATCACAACATTAGGAAGGTTGAGAACCACTGTCTTAGAGGCTTGAAGTGTCCCTTCACCCTTCTATATTCCTTCCCTCCTCCTTGCTTCTCTGTTCCCTTCCCTTGTTAACTCCTTGTTAATGAAATAAAGCACCACCCTTCAAGAGATGAGTTGTTCCTTCATTAACTGCTTGGAATCTTGCTAGTAACTAAGTATCTTGGTTAGGGTTTCTGTTGCTGTGAAAGTAAGGCATTTTTTTAATTATTGTTAAAGGGGGGTGGTCCATTGTGGGTGTGTTTACATCCCTGGGTTAGCAGTCCTGAATTCTTTATAAAAGCAAGCTTACTTTCTTCAGTGATGAACAGTGCTGTGGAAGTACAGAATAAGCAAACCCTTTCCTCCCCATGGGCCAAAGCAAGTTGGCGAGAGAAGGATTTGTTTGACTTACACTTCCACATCACTGCTCATCATCAGAGAAAACCAAGACATGAACTCAAACAGGGCAGGAACCTGGCAACAGGAACTGATGCAGTAACCATCCATGGAGGGGAGCGGCTTACTGCCTGACTTCCCCTGCCTTGCTCAGCCGGCTTTCTTATAGAACCTAGGACTATAATACCACCATGGGCTGGGCGCTCCTCCATTAAGCACTAATTATGAAAATTTCTTTATAGCCAGATCTTAAGGGGGCGTCTTCTCAACTGAGGTTCCCTCCTTTCAGATAACTCCAGTTGTGTGTCAGGTTGCCATAAGACCAGCCAGCACACTAAGGAAGATTAAGACTGGAATGAACGCTTCCTTCTGGAGGGGTGTTGAGGCTGCATTTGTAATCGCCTGGAGAAACTTGTAATTGAAAAAAATAGGTCTGCAGTGCAGAAGTTTTATGAATAGAAATTCTCTGAGTGCTAAATTGTAAAGCATGCATCTGATCCTTTCCTTCTGTGGTAGACTGTTTGCCCACTTAATATAATTTCCATAGTGAATCAAAAAGTAAATAGGCACATTGTATTACACCCATGTTTCTAAACTCTTGCTGCTATTCTAAAGAAGCAGTTAAAATGCTGATTCCTTCTCATGCAACTGAAACCAAAGCCAGTTTGTAAACTTCCAGCGTACACCCTCTGTGCTTCTGTGTTGTGATTCTGGTTAGAGGACAGGGCAAGGGGAACTCTGCAGCTGTGAATCCTTGCAGGAAGGCTGTTGGCCACGTCCCTACTGAGGTTTGATTCTTTTGCTCATGC